GGTACTATTACTTATTCTGTGCTAGAAGTTTGAGAAACGCCATTACTTCCGATCATGAAAGGTTTAAGGTATTTGCAACGTTTCGAAAGAAAACGAAAATAGACTACTCAAATTAAGAATGAATTTTTAACTTGCATTCTAATATTTGGTATGGACGAGTCGACACGACGATCATGACAGAAACTATAGGGTGTTTTTGAGACGTCAAACGTAAATGATGCTCCAGATTTGATTTGTCATGCACGTCATAATATGTCAATGTCACCTCTCCCGTGCTGCTCCTAATGTCACCTCAGACACTGACTGAGCGCTGTAAGTCCAAAGTTATATTACAGTCCAATAGACTTCTTTCCACAAATGGATCTTTGTGTGGGATCAAATCCACTCAATAAAATTGTCTCGCAACATTTTAAATGCATTTCAGAATCCTCGGAAGCAGCTGTGCGATTGGTTTCCAATTGATTCCGCACCGAGTACTTAATAGGATTTTTCTGATAACATCTCCCCGTATTTCTATGTTATCTAGAAGTTCTTTTGTTTCAGGCTTCACGTCACAGGATCGATTCTAGGGAAGTTTATTTTATGTTTGAATCGTCTTTATTCTTCCATTCAAAACATTTTCAATGCTCTTATTAATACTGAATGAGATGTCTCAGTATTAAACTTGAAATGCTGTCAATGTCGCCTAGCTATAACTAGCGCGTGTGTCGTAACAATATCAAAACGTATTGAAAACGTTATTTTGCTTTTACGAAATATCTTCTACATTTTGAATTACCTATAATAAAACAGTTTGTTTGCTTCAAGTAACTTATCCATCAGTAATTTAAAAGTAACCTTATATACAATATTTAAAAAGTAGCTTTCAATCAACGAAAAAAACCATATAGGTAACAAACACCAACCATTATGTCGTCGGTACCTTTCTCAAACTTTCGATTTAAGCTCATTCAGGGAAACTTTTGTTTAGAAAAGAACGAGGAAAAGCTTTACGTCTAATTTGATAGGTAATCCCCTTTGTTAGAGAGTTAACTACACGTTCATTAACCTTTTAAAAAGACGAGGCCTATATGGCATTTCTCTCAATTAAATTCCCCTATGTAAGAAAGTTTATTTGAATTCGGTTAAGAGCGTTTACGCCGTTTGGCGCAAAAACAGTACTTTTTCAACTCGTTACAATCATTAACCAGTAATACTACAAATATGTTATAGGCATAAATAGTTAGGCAATTTCGTCGTCTAAATAGTTAATTGAGAAAATATTGCGATTAGTTTAGCATTTAAGAATTCTATCAAGATAAGTCCACACAGGTTTTGTAAATTTCCACTTTAGCGTCAGTTTACAAGCTGAAATTTTTATAAAAATACTGTGAAAACGATTTAACAAACATTTATATCCTATAGCATAGATCCTTGGGCAAATAGTTATCTGAGAAAATTTTTAGATTTAAGCATTTTACAATAAGAAATCACAAATTAAAAGAACGTGAAATACCCAAAAATCANTCCCGCGTTCCCTCATATCGCTCATATGGATCATGGCAGAAACAGTCAGGTTTTTAGTGGGTGTAGGGGCTACCCACCTTCTGGTAGGAAGAACCCCACATAACCCACTAGCTGCCCCCGCAGCTGGTGGGTATGTTAATGTTATGCATTTTCCGGATAAAAAAATAATAGTTAACAGGAAAAGTTTGTTTTGAATAGAAACGATTTGAAAAAATCTCTCACCATTAAAATTCAAATTTTTTTCTGCTGAACATAGGCTGTATAAAATTTTCTCAAAATAGTAAAAAACCTTTGATAATTTACTATTTGATAAAGAATTTACGTATTTATTATTGATTAGGACCATTATTTATAATTATGGAGTCGGTGTTGGAAGATTTGAAGATTTTATAGTTTCCTTGAGCTGTCACTTGACAGCCTGGCACACTTTTACGATGGTGGATCAAAGTATTTTGGTTCAACTATAGAGCGTGAGAACACGCACACAGTCATAATTATTTTAGTGTGAATAAAACTAGCATCGAAAATACCTAAACTTGACAAGCCACGCTAGACGTAAACGCTCTTAAAAATATACAAACGTTTAATATTTAATGAGCGAATGTTTCGTAGACTTTCAAAGGAAGAATATAAAGTTTGACAAACTTTTTGTAAACTCGGAACGTTCTAATAAACTTACACATTCACGCAAAACTAGTCGAATCCTGTATCTCTAGTAGGAAAAACTTTCGAGTTCGTTTCGTTGCGTAGGTATTCAAAGTGTCATCGAAAAATTTTGTATGAAAAATTAAACAGCGCCCCCTATATTATAGCCGCCCTAGGGGGCGCTGTTTAATTTTTCATACAAAATTTTTCGATGACACTTTGAATACGCAACGAAACGAACTCGAAAGTTTTTCGTACTAGAGGTACTGATGAAATAAAAGTAAACATTACGATCGCATGCTCGTTACGAACGCGAGCGAAGTCTGCATAGTTTGTAACTCGCGGGCCCGATCGGCGCGAAAGTTCCCGATCGTTGCACCGACAAGTTGCAGTTTTTGATAAACTTTGTCCGAATGCATACTTCCTGAGAGCACCACTGCGGACGTGTAGCGACATCTATCGTGTCTACAAACCGGGCATCTCACAAATCACCAACCATCACAGTTACGGTTATCACTTCAGAACCTAAACGAAAACCTAACAGTATTGGACCGAACATGTAGATGTCGTTTATCTGAATAACCAATCGGTTCGCCCACCGATTGTGAACAGATGCGCCCGTTGCATGATCGTACCGGCAAAATGCACTAGGTGGCGCAATATATCATCAGAACTGTATTCTTACCTAGTTCCGATTTGGAACCTAGATTATTTTAAAGCTCTGATACAAACGAACTAATCGTGCAAGAAAGAAGTAATATAAAAACTTGGCCGGTACCCATGTTGTCACTAATGTTGTTCTCGTAGTAGAAATACTTACAAAAGGTTTTGTATTGGGAACTTGTGAAACTTCAGCCTGAAAGTAATTTTACGCTAATATTTATAATTTCTATATCACTAACTGTTTTGCTTACCGTGTCTTATTATGAACAAGTCTAAAATTAGTTAGCAAATGAAGTTGGTATTGCATGATTATTTTATTAATATTTCAATTTAAACGCGCAATAACTATGACATATGATTGACTGACGTATGTTTCAGTAATTCATTCACGAAAATTATAATCAACATGCAAATATTTTATGCAATGAAAATTTTCTTTTCTTTGAAATATTTTTATATTAACTACAATGCTAATATTTTAAATTGGTGTCTTCTTTTTTTGTTTCCCTGTAATGTTTCCAAAATGAACAACTAATGGTATTATGAAACTACTATACTTTATGCAATATTTCCAAATATCAAGAGTAGTCCAGTCAATAAAGCATTAGACGTCAATACCCAAAGAACCGTTTGAGGTATATTTATGAATTTTGAAGCTGATGTTTATCTTGCAAGTCTCAACACATGAGCCAAATTTTAAGTGTTAATGCACAGCACTTTTTGAGTGATGAGGAGTCAAAAGTGGCTCCAATTGGTTCGTCTAAATATACGCACGATGCAGTCCCCTCCCTGGAACTAGACTTAACATGCTCCCGCATGTCTATAATGTTTGCTCAATGTTGATTTAGTCGATTTTCTCCTGATGGTAACATATAAGACAAAATTAAAATTTCCAATATTACAGACCTTCTAGAGCAGATACCGCGATAACTATACAAGATATGGAAAAACTTGACTATCTCACCTGTAGCAAATTGAATAAGCTTTTTTTTGGTTCATAGTAGCCATGTCACTAGGACGCATAGTTTCCGAGAATTAAGCGAAAAACCGAAAAGTGGTACCTTTGAACCCCCCTCTCCCCGCCGGCTCAAGGGCTAAGGGCGGGGACTTTTGCTATGTTCACCTCCTAACTAGTCTAAATAAAGTCCCGAGGTCAGAAATTGTGTTCCAGGGATTTCTCTCTACACCGTCGTTAAAGCATTCATTGACTGAACTAGAGATACTTTTGTAAAGTGGCAAGAAATACTACAGAGTTTTCGTAGTCTAGATAAATATGCTTTATTTAATTAACTGCCACCACTGTTAAACACGAGAAACATTATTCTTTAATACCATACCTTGCAAGCCTGTGCTTTTCAGCGTTGCGATGCACTTGTCCTGGATATGATCGCTAGGTGGCGCTTCTTGCTCTTAAACTGGATTCTTTATATTTTCTTAACTTCAGCCATATGTCACAATGTGTCACAGTGGCTTAGAGAAAAACTATCAAAGTGGTCGCAGCAAAAATATAATTTCTCTACGTAAAATGGAAGGTAATTTACTACATAAGTTCGTTATTATCAGTGAATAAAGATATACAAATACATGCTTTTAAACTCGAAAAACAGATATAATTTGTTACCACATACATGATAACGTAATCTTCTAACTTATACATCTCATGTTATTCGGGAACACCCACGCTTTTGAACGAACTCTTGCCACGATAAACGTATGTATTGTTGTTCTGTGGTAATGTTGTGTTAACTAAATTAAATAAAATATCAAAAAATCATCACTTCGGTCTTCACGTAATACCACAGAATAATAATAAGCTACGTACAGAAGGTTTTCTTCGCGAAGGTATTTAAAAAAAAATATGCTCATTGTCGTCAACAATATGGTGTAATTTAGCTTGTCTCAAGAGTACTTGACACACGTCAGTGATCAGAGTACTGCGCCGATTCCATAGGGCTGACTTCAGTATAATACTTAATGTGTGACGTGAAGTGCCAAACTGCGGAAAATGGCGGAGGAAATACATGATTAAGCATAAATTATATTTTCTTTTAATTTTCATTAGTTTGACAAAGTGAAAAATACTTTTCGAGTATTTTTTGATAATTTATCAACCGACAGACTAATTCAAACTCTTGCTTTTTTACCCAGGAAATATCCCTATTAACTTTAATTATTTGTCCTTACAGGGCATCGATGCTGGCGCACTGCCGCATGCTTTCCGTGGCTTGCAACTACACAGAGGGCGAGCACATGGTCTGCGTGCTGGACTTCAAGCGCGAGACCGGGCTGTGGCACGCGGTGCTGTCCAGCGTCCTCAATGGGATGCACGTCATCTTCATCCCCTACGCGCTGATGAAAGTCAGCCCGGCCTCCTGGATGCACATGATCACCAAATACAGGTACAGGACTATTCCCACCTCTGCGATTCTTTTTTAAAGACTAGCTTTACGCCCGCGGCTTCGCCCGCGTAGAATTTTGTCTGTCACAGAAAAACAATATCGCGCGCGTATTTGCTCACCGTTTAGACGACAAACATTTTAAAACCAAAATCAACTTAATCGGCCCAGCCGTTCTCGAGTTTTAATCAGACTAACGAACATAAATTCATTTTTATTTATGTATAGATAGATTATTAGTATTTGTATTGCACAAATTACTGATAGTCCCGTTAGCCCCTCGTACTAGCTAAATATGCTTGTGTCACGCGAGTGGGCTCACCACAATAATCGAGCGGCGGCGGGATTCGTACCCGCGTTCCCCGGATCACGAGTCGGCCAGTCCGACCCCTTCATCGTTCGGCTATCGTGGCTTTCGTGGCTTCAGCTTGACCTCCAATAAAACCCAACCACTAGGATGCACGTCATCTTCATCCCCTACGCGCTGATAAAAGTCAGCCCGGCCTCCTAGATGCACATGATCACCAAATACAGGTACAGGACTATTCCCACCTCTGCGATTTTTTTAAAGATTATTAGTATTTGTATTGCACAAATTACTGATAGTCCTGTCAGCCCCTTGTACTAAACTAAATATGCTTATGTCACGCGAGTGGGCTCACCGCCGTTCCCCGAATCACGAGTCGGCCAGTCCGACCCCTTCATCGTTCGGCTATCGTGGCTTTCGTGTTACGAACTACTTTAGGATGCATATCATCTTCATCACCTACGCGCTGATGAATGTCAGCCCTGGCCTGGATGCACATGATCACTAAGTACAGGTAATGGAATTCACACGATGATCACCAAATACCGGGAATGGAATGCACTTCAAGCACGAGACCGGGCTTTGACACGTGGTGCTGTCTAGCGCATATAGTTCCAAAATACTGAACTGTCCTATGCATGACATTGACAGTGGGGCGCCAGTCGCCACCGTCATCAATACCGGATCGCTGGTTCTGATTTTTGTCATGTTGGAAACCATATAGTTGAACGATGGTAGCGCCCCCCTGTCATTGAGTTTGGTGGGACAGTTCAGCGTGGGTCATCTATATCATGATCATTGATCACCAAGTACATTGATCACCAAGTAATTGACGTAACAAAACTTCAACGACATGCAAGCGATTTGATCGCTGGAGTCGCTCCCTGTTATTTATGAAGTAGTTTTCTGGTACCTACTGTTAATTGTAATACTACTTACCTGGTCCGTTATGATTCGGCAAAGATATGTGCAAACTAAAACTAGACTTTGCAGTTATTATAATGCCAAAACTAAAATATGAAGACAATTATCGCTCTTGATGATGAATTAGCATAATATTAAATGTACATACAACTGATTTCTTTTGATTGATGTGGAAATTAAATTGTTTGACTCAGTGGCAAGTGAAACTCTTTTCATTGGATATAATAAAATATTTTAAATCCAATGAAAAGAGTCACATTAAATATTTATAAAGTTAACATTGCACGCACGCATTATACAAATAGTAACTTTCATACTTGAATTCCTTTAGTATTTGGCCGCAGTCAAGCAGTATGATATCGTATTGAATGTTTTGGTATTTTATTTGATTGATTTTCCCGGTTGATTACTTTTCCAGCTAAAAGTTCCCAGATTCCGGTTGGTGAAGCAGTCACCGATTGTTTTCTGATATTCCTTACTGTTTTGTACACATTATTACCTGGCAGTTATAAAAGAAGTGATGTTTGCGTGTGCAGGTACGAGGGCTGCACTAAAAGTACCGGGAATGGAATATTTCCACTGTTCCAGTCATATTAAAATCTATTTTTTTGCAAACTCCAGGGTTTTAAAAATCGTATACCATTTATTTATTTAAAAAAAAACGATTCTCGGTCGTATCACAAGNTAACAGTTGAACAGTACCTTTCCGGTTAACATTCCCCAGGACAAACGTGGCCTTCATTTGGTTTTTATTACCAGTTCAGCTGTAGATCCAGGATCTACTATCTACACAAAAGTTAGCTATGTAAACGAGAGATGTGAATAGTCATACCTGTGGCCTAATTCACTTAAATTTCCAAGTTTTATTAAAGAAAAAAATTGGAAACTTCTCCATTATCACAGAAAAAGTAGGAAGATAATTTGAACCTTAAAACAAACGATATAAATAGTGTATTAGTTATAACATCATTTGTTATCCACAGGGCGTCGGTGGCCATCGTGAAGTCACGTGACCTCCACTGGGGGCTTCTGGCCACTCGTGACCACAAGGAGATCGCGCTGGGCTCGCTGAGAATGCTGCTGGTGGCTGATGGAGCCAACCCCTGGTCGCTGTCATCTTGTGACCAGTTCCTATCAGTGTTCCAGAGCAAAGGTATGAGCTCAGTATCAGGTTGGAGGACAAAACGCAAAATGTACTTGATCTTACTGGGTTCGCTGAGGACGTGGCTGATGGAGCTGACCCCCGGTCTCTATTATCGTACGACCAGTTCCTCTCAGCATTCCAGAGCAAAGGTATAAGTTTAGTTTGGAAATTAAAGGAAAAATGTGATCAGATCAGTCCCAGATGTGCACAGAAATTTAACTGTAAAAATCCCAATAACTTTTAACACGTCTTTTCCTTGACTGGTGTTTATCATATTCATCGTCATCAGGGTGTTTAGTATCTTCCACAAAACCACAATCAAATCCAAACATTTGACTCGTGGTGGTATGTCCCGATACATAAGGAGACTTGTAAAGAGCCCCTTAAAGGCTAGCTTTTTAATATAGTAACAATAAATGTAAAGAACTGTAAAATATCAATGAAACATTCACTACACTGAACATTTTTTTCCAGGTGTGCGCGGCGATGCAATCTGCCCATGCGCATGCAGCAGTGAATCTCTGACAGTGTGCGTACGCCGCGCGGGGCGTGGCGGGTCTTCCGCGGGGCGTGGCGTGCTGTCCATGTCGGGGCTTTCGTACGGCGTCGTCAGGGTGGACGCTGAGAATTCGCTGACGTCATTGACGCTGCAGGACTGCGGGCAGGTCATGCCTTCGTGTGAGTACTGATGTTTTGATAATTTATAACCTTAAATCCTGTCATGTTTGGTTTCAAAATGCAAGCACAAGTGTATTAAGTTACAAAAAAAAAACTAATAAAGCATTAGGATTTTATTAATTTTGAAGTGTGGAGCTTTGTATTAAGTAGCTAACCAAACAATATGATGAGTAACATCATAACTTGTTTTTACCAACAGGCGTAATAGTGGTCGTGAAGATGGAGGGTCCCGCATTCCTCTGCAAGACCGACGAGGTTGGCGAGATATGCGTGCTCTCCGGAGCCACCGGGTCTGGCTACTGGGGCCTGCCAGGCCTCACCAACACCGTATTTAGAGTAAGGCCGCTCGATGCTGACGGCGACCCGATAGGCGAGGAGCACTATGTGAGGAGCGGATTGTTGGGATTCCTTGGGCCGGGTGGTGAGTATTTTTTTTTATTGCATAGTGCTACTGAGACCTTCCAGAGGCTATGCTCGGAGTTTCCCTGCGTGATTGAATCAGAAATGAGATCCGTAGAAGAACCAGAGTGACTGACATAGCCCGCAAAATCGCTATAATCAAGTGGCAGTGGGCGGGGCATATAGCTCGTAGAGCTGATGGCCGCTGGGGCAGGAAAGTTATTGAGTGGCGACCACGAGCCGGTAGACGTAGCGTGGGCAGGCCTCCCACTAGGTGGACCGACGATCTGGTGAAGGTCGCGGGAGGTGCCTGGATGCGACCAGCGCAAGATCGGCCTTTGTAGAAATCCTTGGGGGAGGCCCTTGTCCAGCAATGGACGTCTTTCGGCTGAAACGAACTGAGGCCTTTTTGTTTCTTTTTTCTCTGCACTAAAACAATAATATGAACAATGCAGCACAAATTACAATCCACGGAATGGAACAGTTCTTTTTAAAAATGTTACGTTGAAACGTATGAAAGATGTTATAGCTTAATAATAATCATCGATTTAATATGAATTATATCCCCTGTCATGGTTCCTCGTTTCAAAATCACTTTATGCTTAATATCATACTTAGGTATAGTTACGGGACTATTCCCACCTCTCGTTCTTCCACTGCAACTCCTGTGTAGCCAGGATCTACAGCTTGACCGCCACAAAAACCCAACCAATGAAGGTCAAGTTCAGGCGCGGATCCACCGTTGTGGGCACTGTGGGCATGCCAGCAACCCTAATTTACTTGTTTTAATTATGATCTATTAATAAGATCGATAGTCATGTATGTATGTCCGGGCATGTAGTGATCCAACTCTCATTTTGCTAATTTTTGGTGGCTGTGCCCACAACCTTTTTTGAGGGCTAGATCCGCGCCTGGTCAAGTTTTTCCCGGGGAAAGTACTTAGGTATAGTTAGTAAGATCATTGTTTATTATTACCAAAACCCCCTTTCAGGCCTGGTATTCGTGTGCGGCTCCCGCGACGGCCTGATGACAGTCACCGGCCGCAAACACAATATGGACGACATAATCGCCACCGTGCTAGCCGTGGAACCCATGAAGTTCATATACAGGGGGCGCATAGCCGTATTCTCTGTGCGCGTGTTGCGGGACGAACGCATTTGCATCGTGGCGGAACAGAGACCCGACTGTGGCGAGGAAGAGGTATTTGGAACGCGAACGGTAATGATTAATGAAAGATTCTGCGTGTCGAGCTGCGTTAAGCGATGTGTCCACTCGGCAACAATAGGGTATTTGCACCACCAATCAATTGATATACTTTTTAAAACTGTCAAAACGAGACTCTCCTATAGATTTTGAATGTCAATACTAGCCAGTGACATCACTATTATGTCAACTCAATTAAACTATACTTTTTTTAAATTACAATTCATCCAAAAACCTTAATTGACACCTAATATAAAATTAAAAGTTTTAAAAAAAGTTGTGCTTTAGAATTATTGGGGAGTGGTGGCAAATACCTACTTGACAGTCAATAAGTCAATAGGGGAGCGGACACTGTTCCGTTAGTCGCACTAGTTTTTTCCACCATTTCTTCTCAGAACCAACAGAAATGTGATCGACGCCAAGTATAGTTTGCGACGCGTTAAAGTTACCTGAAATGAGCATATAAAACATAGATTACGATCTAAACTGAGATAGTCCTTAAAATAGGTAACTCGGTTTTAATTTGAAATCGAAATAATCCTGGAAAATCTACTAAATATTGCTCGAAGCTCTTTTCCTTATCCGCATTGCTTCGCTCCCTATAAATTTTTAAATCATTCGATTAAACTCGTAACTCGAATAATGTTTTGCCAATCTTACAAATTGTCCCGATTGACTAGTGGTTTCCCATTCCCTATTGTTACCTAGTGGATATGATGCACAGCTTGATGCATCTATTGGTGTTGTGTCATCCCTTCCATCCTTCAGATTAATTTCACATGTTCTATATTCGAATCGTAAACTCTATGTACAAAGTAAAGTTTACAAATTAGCATTTAATTTACATGACCTTGAAAATAATATTAATAGTTGGGTATGTTCATGAATCCACCTACCAGTGGCTCGACCTTCGGGAAAATCGGCAGTTACACAGTTTGTCGGGAAGACTGACATCTCCACAGGCTGTGTGGTAATGGATTAGTTAATAGTTAAATGTTGTCATGTGTTATTACTGCTCGAATAGTGTTTTTAAACAATTAATTAAAATGCAAGAGGCATTTTGTCCCAGATCAATCGAGCCGTTGCCATTTTAAATAGTTTTATGCTAAAACAGTCCCATTTTCAGAAGATACTTCTTTTTTAAATGTTTTACAGTAAAAATGTTCTTATAAATGTGTGCATATAATAAAAAGATTGAAGTAGTTATAGGTCGCTCAACGAATGTTGAGGCGAACAATATTAATAATAATATTATTTGAATACAGAACACAAAACATCACACATTCTTGATTAAACTCTTGTTAAATGTTCGCAAACAAGAGGGAAAGCAATGTCAGTTTAAATTTGCAAGGTACAAATCTTTGCTTGTATAGATGACCTCTCTTTTGTTGCGCGACCTATAATAATCATAATAAAACTCTGACATACGACTATTTAAATGACAACGAAACGTAAATATCTATGTAGTAGTAGAACTCTCCCATTGCTCTTCATTCACTCACACACATTTCCCACCACAGTCGTTCCAATGGATGTCCCGGGTGCTCCAAGCTGTTGACTCCATCCACCAAGTGGGAATATATTGCCTGGCGCTGGTGCAGCCCAACTACTTGCCCAAGACGCCTCTAGGCGGGATTCATCTCAGCGAGTGCAAGCGCCGTTTCCTGGAAGGCACTCTACACCCGGCAAACGTCCTTATGTGCCCGCATACATGCGTCACTAACCTGCCCAAACCAAGGGAGATCCATTCAGGTGAGTGATGGTTAACCCATAAAGTTAACACACGTCTTCGCTTGACACTTGGAGCCAAATAAAACTCGTAATTTTGAGGTTTTTAGTATAATAGAAAATTAATAGTACAAAATGATGTGCGTATCGCGACGATCGGAAGGCAAGTGAAATGACATTCAAATATTAACAGTAACTAGCTAAACTCCTAGGATTTTACTAGAGCAATGTTACATAATTTAGTATGGCGAGTGACGTATGCGCGCAGGAGCCGTAACACATTCCTTCATATAGATGACCCACGCTGAACTGTCCCGCCAAACTCAATGACAGGGGGGCGCTACCATCTTTCAACTATATGGTTTCCAACATGGCAAAAATCGGAACCAGCGATCCGGTATTGACGGTGGCGCCCCGCTGTCAATGTCATTGATAGGACAGTTCAGTATTTTGGAACTATAATAGAATAACACACACGAGCTGTCAAACAAAACTGATTTTGGATGACATTGAACGTCATTTGTGCGTCAGTTGTCACGATTATTTCACTATTTTGTGCAATAAATCAATCACTGAATAGTAGAGTTTCATTCACGTAAAATCTGAAAATATCTCCGAGTTCAAATTTTCAGCGTGCCAATAACTGCCAACGTACTATCAAATAGTTGCAAAAACCGTTCTCTTGGATGTGCGGCGACGGCATCACGCATCTCTTTTTATCACACAGTGTTCTTTCTTTGTAGCTCTATTCCGCGATGTTAACTTTATGGGTTAACCCTTCAATTCACACGAATCGACACAATAGATAAATCAATTCAAATCAAAGATTGAAGATTCAATTCAAAGATAAAGGAATCGGAGCTGTATATTAAATGTAAAAATGTAATCTGTAATGCTCACTCAACACAACTACTGCGACACAGGCCTGCGAGCCTAGTGCAGAAGCTGTGGTTTATTACATCACAGGAAATGATATTTGTGAATAAAGATGATTTATTTATTTATTTAATTGCTATGCGACCGCTTTGGGTTTGATGGGGTAAAGCTGTCAGTTAGGTAGTTAACATTGAATTATCATGCCACAGATTCTCTCTAAAAATCCTTTCAATCTAGGTTCCCAGGCCCAATCAGTTCACTAAACTGCAAAATTACAAATATGATTTCTTTCGCATTTAAAACATTACAATGTTACTTGCAGTTAAAATAACGATTTATGTCGCGTTACAATTTATAGACGGTCCAGCAATGTTCTTTAGTCATATTTATCTGCTTGTCTCTTTTCTTTGTACGTTGTAACCAAAGATATTCCAATCTTCACCAGTTTCAATAATTCATTATCGTGTAATATATTTTTTTTTGCGTCAGGATAATACATTAATTTGTATACCTACCAGCCGCGGGGGCAGTTAGTGGGTTATGTGGGGTTCTCCCTGCCAGAAGGGCAGGGCCTACCCACTAAAAACCTGACGTTGCCCTCGGTAGCCATATGAGTCGGGAACGCGGGACATCACTATTGGCGTTTTGCCTCAAGCATTCGTCCGCGTTCCCTGCTCGGCATTCGGCTCGCTTAGTGCGCAGCCCCAAACCAAGGAAGGCGATTATTACGCATTCAACCTCCTGCGAGCGGCACGCAGGACACGTGCTGCGCCGTCGCGGTCATTATTGTGTAATAAGATTGATGTTGTTGACTAATTTGATGATTATTATCGCTTGTAGATGTGGGCCCAGCCTCAGTGATAGTCGGCAACCTGGTGCAAGGGAACCGACTGGCCTCGGCGCAGGGCCGCGATATGGGATACACCGATGACTCCGACGCTGCTAGGAAGGTAACAAAACCACATTTGCTTAGCTAACTAACTGTGAAACGTCATCATCATCTCAGCCATAGGACGTCCACTGTTGAACATAGGCCTCCCCCAATGCTTTCCATGTTGCCCGGTTGGTAGCGACCTAAGTCCAGCGCCTTTCTGCTACTTTTACGATGTCGTCGGTCTTTCTCGGTCACTCTCACTATAGGCTTTATACAGAAGCTCAAAGTTGCGCAGCGTGCTATGGAAAGGGCTATGCTCGGTGTTTCTTTACGAGAGAGTCGCTGACATAGCCTAACGGATTAGCAAGTTGAAGTGGCAATGGGCAAAGCACATAGTGTACGCAGAACTGACGGCTGATGGGGCAAGCAAGGTTCTGGAGTGGAGGCCGCGTACCGGAATACGTCAGCTTACTTACTTACTACGTGCTATTTTATTGTAACTTAATTATGTTTAGTCACCCCGCAGACCAGACTATAGACTTATTGTTGGGCGATCGTTTGGTGGTAGCGCTGTTAACACAGCTGTTAATCAGTATGAACATGTAATGGGAGTACGCATATTACACCGATTTGATTTCGGCCGATTCCGCATACAAATTGAAATCCGACCAAACTATCGGTTTTACAAAGTCTAATGTGTAATTTATTGCATTGTATATTTCAAATTATCTTGAATATTTTGATAACAGTTCTAGCGTTCTAGTTTGAGTGTATGACTCAATTAAAATATTTTAACTTTGTCATGCAAGAGGTTCTGTAACACACATACCATTGTATTTTTCAATTTTTGAAGTTATAATAAATGGGGAATCATCAATATGTTATATTTCTTTTTCCAGTACCAGTTCATATCCCAAATCCTTCGGTGGCGCGCTCAGAGTACATCCGACCACGTGATATTCACGCTTCTCAACTCCAAAGGCGCCGTGGCCAAAGTTCTGACCTGCGCTGAGCTACACAAGAAAGCCGAGCGCATCGGCAACCTCCTGCTAGAGAAGGGACGCGTGAATACGGGAGACCACGTCGCGTTGATCTTCCCCCCGGGACTCGATCTCATTTGCGCCTTCTACGGATGCCTCTACGTCGGCGCGGTCCCGGTCACCATCCGACCGCCGCACCCGCAGAACCTCCACACCACTCTCCCCACAGTCCGCATGATCGTCGACGTCAGCAAAGCCACTCTAGTCCTCTCCAACCAATCTGTGATAAAGCTCCTCCGATCTAAAGAAGCGAGCAACGTTCTCGACAGCAAGGCGTGGCCGATCACGCTGGACACAGACGACATGCCCAAAAAGAAACTTCCCATCCTGTACAGAGCGCCGACGGCTGAAATGCTAGCGTATTTGGACTTCAGCGTCTCCACAACCGGCATGCTCGCCGGAATCAAGATGTCTCACGCGGCCGTCACATCCCTCTGCCGCTCAATGAAGATCGCCTGCGAACTGTATCCATCCAGGCATATTGCGCTCTGTCTGGACCCATACTGCGGCCTCGGATTCGCTCTCTGGTGCCTGAGCAGCATCTACTCAGGACACCACTCCATCCTGATCCCACCCTCCGAGGTAGAAATCAACCCGGGCCTCTGGTTGAGCGCGGTCTCGCAGTACAAAGTCCGCGACACGTTCTGCTCGTACGGAGTCATGGAGCTCTGCACAAAAGGCCTCGGAAGCTCGGTCAATCAGCTCAAGTCGAAGGGAATCAATTTGGCTTGCGTGAGGACCTGCGTTGTAGTTGCTGAGGAGCGGCCGCGTATCAACCTCACGAATTCGTTCTCGAAACTGTTCTCAGCGCTGGGACTGAGTCCGCGAGCGGTATCGACGTCGTTCGGATGTCGCGTGAACATCGCTATCTGCCTCCAAGGTGCGTCTAGTCCGGAGCCGTCTACGGTTTACGTCGATCTCAGGGCTTTACGGAACGACCGCGTATCGCTGGTAGAACGCGGCAGCCCGCACTCGCTCTGCCTGATGGAATCTGGGAAACTGCTTCCCGGCGTAAAAGTGATAACCGCGAACCCAGAAACTAAGGGGCAGTGCGGTGACTCCCATTTGGGTGAAATCTGGGTGCAGTCGCCTCACAACGCGAGTGGGTACTTCACGATATACGGCGACGAGAGCGACTACGCGGACCACTTTAGCGCTCAGTTGGTGACGGGTAACACCGGGGAGGTTTACGCTCGTACTGGCTACTTGGGTTTCCTGAGGAGGACGGAGATCGCTGTGAGCAGTGGTGGGGATGAGTCTCTCTTGCGGGACAGTGATACTGAGTCTTTGGTGTCTGGTTGCGGGAGCGTGGGGGCGGCTGACACTCATGACACGCACGACGCGGTGTTCGTGGTGGGGGCTCTCGACGAGACCATCATGCTCCGCGGCATGAGATACCATCCCATCGACATCGAGAACTCCGTGATGAGGTGCCACAAGAAGATCGCTGAATGGTGAGACATTTATTTCTTAATTTATTAATATCCTATTATCTTGTAACTAACAATTTAAAATTCAACAGATATTTTGGTTAACATTTATAAATTAAAAATATTGGTGGTCATAAACTCGTATAGATTTATTATTCATCTAACAAAATGGCTACCAACCGTTGCTAAAATCAAAGCTCAGCATCGATTGACAAACTAAATAACAATAAATAAAAACATAATATCAAATGTCAGTGGCAATTGCATATTATACAAAAGATCGTTATAAAAGTGTTTATTCAAGAGTTCTATAACTTTCTTTAGATCCATTTGTTAACCAGATATTATAATTGGTAAAGGTGATTATAACATTAATTTTCTTTTTGTTAATTGTAGTTTGTTATTTTTTGTTAGTTTGTTTGTTTTTAGTTTAATGTTGTTGGATTCAATTTCAGTCTGTCTTGTTCTTGACCAATCGGTCTAAGCCTAGGCGGCCGATAGTTTATTCGGGCAGTTGATCAGTATGGGCATGTATGGAAGTGTGCACATTACATCGATTTGATTTAGCCGATTCTTCATACAATTTAAAATCGGGCACAACTATCGGCCAACTAAAATCTGTGGTCTGCGCCTAGATATACTGAAAGTTGACAAACAAAAATGTTTGTTACACGCTTTAAATTAAATGGAAGTTTTACCTTCGTTTTGTTATTACGACCGCAAATCAAAAGACTTGATTGAGACTATAGCCTGACCAGGAACATAAAAACCCTCGCCATGTTGCGGAAAACTAATGTTACTAATTTCTTTTAATGGCAACAGTAACTGAAAACTTCATTATAATGTCACCTTGCATGTCAGTTTATTGCTGTCATAGTGTAAACAAACTTTATTTTAAATGTGCGCAATTGATTTTGTGAATAAATTGCTAAAATCTTTTTATAGTCGTGAAAGAAAAGTGGTTCACAATGTGTTAAAGTATTTGTCGAAGAGAAATACTAAGGGTTCGGACAATATTTTCATTGAATAATGTTTCCGACAAAGGTTGTCAAATTGACTGACATGTTTATCGTATAGTGTACTATACGGTCAACTATGAAAATTAGCTGTGGTTTGTTTCAACTACCTATTTTAAAGTTTTTTGTCACTTTTTAAGTGTTGAATTTTATGGAATTGGGAAAGAGGTACCGAGTTTGAAGCGTTCTTAGCAGACATTGCAGTTGAATATTCAAGTTCTGAATTTTATTATTGAAGAATAATAAAATAAATCCTACTAGCTCGATTGATGGTTTCATTTAATTTATTTAAACCAGGTTACCAATAATAATATTTTTTCGTTAATTTATGAAAATATCAAATTAGCCCGTAATTCTGAATCCTGATACATAAAGTTAGCCTATTAATTTAACACAGGTACGACTGTACTCAGTGTTGCACTATCAAATGCAATTGACGCGCCTCTATGCCAGGGTTTTTATGTTCCTGGTCAGGCTATACTATACATCTTATTTGTCTTTTACTCACCAACACCAATCATTCCACAGCGCTGTGTTCACCTGGACCAATCTGCTAGTAGTCGTGGTGGAGCTGGACGGCAACGACAGCGAGGCCCTCAACCTGGTCCCACTTGTCACCAACACGGTCCTCGAAGAACACCATCTCATCGTGGGAGTGGTGGTGGTGGTCGACCCGGGAGTGGTGCCGATCAACTCTCGCGGGGAAAAACAACGCATGCATCTGCGAGACGGATTCCTCTCGGACCAAATCGACGCCATCTACATAGCTTATAACATGTAAGGCAGGCGGTCCGTGGCCGGCAGGGCACGGAGAAAACGCTAACCAGTTTGGGTTTTGGTGGTTTAGATTGGTTTGTCGTGTGGTTTGAAGTGGTTTGCTATCTCTTGAATTTGGAATAGTCTTCATTGATCCTTGATGTGTGTCTGTAGCATTATACTATCTTGTAGCTGACAAATCAAAAGTACATAAACCATTCATGGACATTTTCGTCTATGACTGACATAACAATTATTGTGTATACGTAATTTAGATTACTCATGTAGATTGAATACTTTATTAAATCTGGTCTTTTATGGCAGTAAGTATATGAAAGAGATAGTGAATGAACTTCATCCCGATCAATTTAATCAAATTTTTATGCAGCTTGAAAAAAATCTTATGGCCAGAGTATTTTTGAAGAGTGCAAATCAAAGATCAATAGGTATGTGTAATTAAAGGGCGATTCGTTATTTGTATGGTCGTCGATTGTATCTCAGCAGAAATCGACAATGTCTTAAAGATTTTGGTCGAGCTGTTTTCGAATACGGTAAAGTTTTCATGTTTACGATATTTACATAATATATTATGACTCTGGCCCTCAACCAGAATGTCCTAGTAATTAATATAGCACCAAAATTTCGAACCGCGTCCTCTAATATTTAGGCAAGCGCTTTCTGTGTAACCTTTGCACGGCAGTGTGAATAATGGCCACTATATTGAACCTTATTGACATTTTCTCGGTTGAAAACTAATAGAAATATTAACTTCGTATGCCGTATGAAGGGTCGCCTGGCGTTAGCCGTGCCCGCGACCGCCCGGCCACTGCTCTCCTCAGAACCCACCATTTTCCCAACGGTGGTATTTTCTATCGTAGGATCCATGTATTATATTTCGACTGTCTTTTAGACTTTTGATGATTTTGTATCTGCACTTTGTACTTCGAATTTTTCCATTAACAAAAGCTACTAAAAGAAAATATTCTTCGATGAATCGAATGAACGATTTAAGACTGTACGCTGATTATAATTTAGCCTTGTTTTTAATGCTAACATCGGCATTGCCCAGGCGAAGACTGATTGAAGTCTGAAGTAGGCGTTGATTTGTTACCTTAGTGATGTTCCGATTGCTCTGATTGTATGCGAGTTGTAGGAGACATGACCACGGGCGGAGATTGCTGCGAGTGAGTCGTGCGGCGCTACTGTCCTAATCGCTTGACTTCATGGTTTCTTTAGGCGACAACTACAAAATCGATATATCTCAAAACACCAATAGAAAACTTAACTACTGACCTAAATTGACAGATGTTAACATAATTTGTTATGAGAATCTCACATTCAAAAAGCATTGTTATTTACTAGCCTTCGAAACCCTGATATATAGGCCTATCGAAATATATGACATATATTTTACATTGCTAAACATTGTTTAGCTATCGAAAGCTAAGATCTTCTACAAAAAATTACCGATTTATGGCCTCTATACGTCTCTTTTGTTCATGCCAGTATATTAGGGTGTGTGACGGGAAGAATAGAGCTGAATGTTGGTAAGTTTTGAGGGAATTCAAATCTGAATTGATAGATTTTTTGACATTTCGATATTAGTCGATGATCGAATGGACGGTAGCGCTCGCGCCAAGCTGCGTCCGAGTCACATGAGGACCAGCAGCTTGTAATGTTTTTATTATACACAATTATATTGTTGTGATTTTATGAATCAAGTAATTTCTAATTCTAGTGCATATGTAAATGTATTACAAGAAGTAATATTAAACATAGTGTTAGTTATCTAATAAAATCATTTGCATTTAATGTGTTGATCAAATGTTAGTTTTGTCAAATTAATTTTTATCGTTGACAATAAAAAATTCAAACCGTTCGCTGATAATTTTACCGCTTAATATGTTAGACAGTTCGGTGTCCGACGTTTACATTTTAGGATTTTGATCAATATGTAGAGTTAATGGTTTTTAAAGAATTTTACAATAATATCACATTTTTCCGATATGAATATCTCAGTGTTGAGTAGGGAGCACAAATATATTCGGTGTTCTGGCATTACAATTAACATTTCTCCGGTAAGTCTCTGGGGACACTTGGTGTTAGACTCCGTAGTGTTTACTATTAGTATTTACATTCAAATGTGACTGTTTGTTCTACTTTGCTGTGACACGGTATAAACAAGTTAGGAGTTATAAGGGAGTGTGGTCCGGCTGAAGTGTGGTACATAATTAGTTAAACACGCGGAATAAAGTCAATGGTAATGATAAACAATATAGTTTAACTTGCATTTAATACATCGTGTATCATTGACATTTCTACAACAGAGACATGACGTAACGACCGAAACGTACCACACTTCAATTTAAAAAGGTATTTTTGTGAGCGTCTAATACAGAGTTACTCGACCTTTTTAGAACAGATATAACTGAGGCGTTACTAAAACGGCGTACAAAATCGTGGAAGCCGCAGGTTGAGTAAGACTGGTCTAATTTTACCTGGTACCGATTGCTCATCTTATGCTATAGATTTGATCTTGACTAGTGCCAAAATATAGATTAGACGCGCACAAAACTGGGCGTAGACATCCAGTGATAGACATTGTGGACTATTTAGCCATGTATACCAGTTTTGATTAATTAAATATAACTAAGTGTAACTAATATATTACAGTGTTCTTTCATGTTAAGCTCTTATACGTTTCGTTACGGTATTTGATGAGGAATCTGTGTTAATTTAACGATGTTTGTAAAATGCGTTAGTACCGACAATTTTGAGTTTTTGACCGTATGTATGCCATGCTTAATGCACGAAATATTGATTCAAAATGTACCTACACAACATGATATAAATACTGTTTGCATCAAGTATTTATTATAATAATAACGCTCCTTACATTTTGGTTATAGTTTGCTCTTTATTGATCTAAATATTTATTAATTGTTATATTATCTTTTGTCACCATGTCAACTTTCCTTAATCAATTAGTCCTGCTTTAATGCAAAATGCATATCCTAATGTATTGACAAATTTGAGAATTCCACATTTTCATAATTTAATGACGCACGTATTAAAATTATGTTATGTTGTTACTGTTACATTTTTGATAACAAAATTTTATGTTCCGGTGTTGGCATTGAAAAACTACGGTGTAGATAACCTACACTGAACTGTCCCACCAAACTCATTGACAGGGAGGCGCCACCATCGTTCAACTTATAGTTTCCAACATGGCAAAAATCAGAGCCAGCGATCCGGTATTGACGGTGGCGCCCCCCTGTCAATGTCACTGATGGGACGGTTTGTTGTAGTTGGACAATATCTATAATGTGCATTGGTACCATTTAAGCCATTAAAATACACTTTCTTATTTATTTGAATTTGTCATTACGTCCTCAAGATCCATTCAACATTGCGTGTGATCCAGAGATACAATCGATGGTTGCTGCAGTGTAATTAATTATATGTAATACATAATTATGTTATAATATTCATGCTTATTCAATCATGATTTTGTCAATATTTCATTCCACAAAATTTCAATTATATGAACATTTATGGCAAATTGAATTTATTGTCACCATATTAGATTTCATTATTTACTATTCTTTTATTATATTTTGTAATTATTTATTGCTAAATTGTACATATTTTTGTTATTTAATTTTACGTTTAATGATTCTGTATTAGCTATATCAATGTTGTTTTGACGATGCTGTATCGATAGATTAGGTTAAGGTATAATGTGTATCGTTAGCTGATTTCATATTAAATCGATGTATCATTTAGTTCTTTATAAAGTTTAATTTGTATGGTTATTTCAAAATGTAGTCATCTTACTGGATAAGTATATAAGTAGTGAAATAAACTCAGTTTTCTGAACAAACATTGTCTTATTTGTAACCGTTAATCGTGCAAGTCATAATGTGTGAGGTTTGCTATAGGTCTTGGCACAGCGTTACTCACACGGGGGCTGAGGGTACCTTACGCTTATTCGGTATTTCTACTACTTTGATCAGTCGTAGATGTGACAAAAACCTTGAAGTTAAAATATTAATAACTCGATTTGATCCTATATAATTTAACATCGCTTGTTGATTGTTCAGAAGGTTCATGTTTGCTGAATCTAGTCTTAGCAATTTTCCCATGCGACTTTTAAGTAGTAGGAATGCAGTCCAAGAGATGGGACACGCCTCAACGTCGATGCTCAAAACTTAAACTCTGATTTTTANTAATATTACAACATTTTCACCACCTTATTCTCTACCATACACGTGCGTCTTCCTTCTTTCTTTTCCTTCTTTTTTTTCAAGCAAGAGCTGAAAATCAGTTTTCTGCTCATTTCAGAGCAGTGTCTACACTGAGCTCTCTGCTTTTTTGCATCGCTGCGGCACACTTATACCTTAGCGCGCAGGATTTTCTTTCTTTCTCTTTGTAATGTACTATATCTTTCCTGCTACTCCTGTGTTTATTAATCTTACGTTTTGCTTCTTGTGTGTCAATGTGTTTTGCAAATAAACCATTTATCTATCTATCTATCTAATAATTAGTGTACATTGAATTGACACAACAAACAATAGTTCATTCTTGTAAGTTGTACTTGATGAAATTTCATTTCATATTATTTATTAATAATTCAAAGCAAAAAAGGCTTATTACATCTGAATTGTCAAAAAATGACAGCTGTCAGAATTCCGTCGAATTAAAAATCGGACTATAGTTAATCGGACTATGTGACTGTTTTGAATTTAGATTGGATTTTTATAACCTTCCTGTAAGTCGATGTAGTCGCCAAAGAATGTTCGGACCTTAAGGAGCTTCAACTTTGTGACTTGTATTATTTTAAACAATAAATAAATAAACACTATGTTGGGTTTTTTATTTTTTTATTACACCAAGAGATTTAAAATTACATTTATAAACATATATAACATTGAGATAAATTTTAAAGAAATTATGTCTAGTGGATTTTCCGTAGCAGATTTTTTGGATAGCTCTGCTCTTAGCAGTAACCATGTTCCACGACTACCGTCGCACCAACCAATCTGCTGCGGCTGATGCAGAGATTAATTACACCTAGATGGTTTCCCCTTGACGGATTTTTGGAATAGTCCCCTAGTGGGAACCACGGTATACGACTAGTGTCGCACCAACCATCCGTCGGGGTATGCAGCGAGAACTTTCAATGTTTGTTTTTGTAAATAAGAGAAGAGTCAAACAACCATTGAAATTTCAAGGTGCGTCTACGATGACATCTACATGATCTTATACTACAGTCCGCGCCGTCAGTCTATTAGCGCGAACTGTACATTATCAGATATGCTCCGTGCCAATGTAGGTTAGCAATAATGCAACAAGAAAAAAACAACATGTGACTGAATTAATCCACGTTCTCAGTTTCAATAATGAGAAAGTAATTCAGAGTCACTATTTTTCTGCTTTTTTCTTTACAAAACGTCTAAAATATATTGGCTTTATAAGTCCTTTATATTCTAAACAACATCGATAACTTTCAAACATCAAGGAAGAAAACATTGAGCTGGAAACAAGAAAGTCATAAAATTAGGAAACAGAGATGATGAAGTTGATGATAAACTAAATATGATAACAAAATAAAACGAAAATGATTGCCCAAAGCCGTACCGTGTGTATTTCCATATGAGCATACCCCATGGCGTTTACTAGTGCAGGTTTAATCACTGGGGCTATAATAACTCACTGGTCTTAGCTAGGTTATGAAGCTTCTGGATCAATTGAAGCATTTGTAGGTAAGTACCTCCTAAATTCGCATCTCCCAGTCAGTATTTAGAATCACAAACCTTCCACATGGCTTACAAACGGTCCCGATGCTGTCTAGTTGTTTTAGTCGGTTCATTTAAGATGTAGTTTTTCACTAGAGGAAGGTAGTGGCTAAATTATCTGCCCATACTAAGCTTTGGCTTTACATATTTTAGCCCATTTGCTGAACTGATACTGATATTAAGACAATCTTACGTGTCCAAATTTCCCGGTGAACCTTTTTGTCAAAGTAAGCGTTATCATAAGGGTCATAAGGATAAGTTCTGGGTAATACACATGTGGGCTGTTTTTGTTAGTTATTTTACTGTCTGGCGTGTAGCCAGGTTTTATGTATTGTGACGGCAAGGTGCGTTATGTCTACGATATCAACTCCTTGCAAAAATCAAGTCAGGGTTTTTTTGTTAAATTACACAGAGTTAAGTAACTACATACATATTTAAATAATTAGTATTTTTTACATTGCAAAATTAACAAAACTTGTGTAACTTTTTGGGATCCAAAACGCCTTAACAGTTGTTTCCGACCATAAAAATACGTTTGATGTATAAATTTTATACTCCGAGTATAAATATTCCGTTGTTTCCGTAAAAATCAAAATTTTACTGACGTTTTTCTAAAGATTTACATGGAGCGAAACGCAGCGTTGATGTCTTTTGCACTGATCGCTTGTCTCCGCACGTTCGCCGCGTGCAGCGAAAGCTCGCTTAGCAACAGCTGACCGCGGAAACTTGGAAAATCGCCGAGCTTTTGAGCTAAGTACCTATCGACAGACAGACGAGCTGATGATTCAAATGCTGATATTTATTGCGTTTATGGCACTTTTCCCAAAATTCAATAGGTACTGAACACTAACGCTTCGCTTGCAGTCTAATTTGGTCGAAGATAATAATATAGTTATGTAAATTAAGCAATGTAATTTTACTAAAAATAACCCAACTAAATATGACTTTCGCCGCTTAATTTGGCCATGGGTAGAGTCTATCAGATGTGGCTCGCAATTTGAAAATGTACTTTTTATGGGGTTTGCGGCAAAAAAGCAAATCATTTAAAGGGCTTTTATATTTATGTTTTAGTACCCTGTATTTTTTAATTTAAGGGGTACATAATTTAAATTTATACCAAAGTTAAAAGGGTAAGTTGGACCGTGGTTGTACTGTACTACCTTTTTACAATTGGTCTTTAAAGATTTACAAGAAAAATAAGTATAAATTAAATAATGCGTTTTTAAGTAACTTATAAAATAAAATAAAATACCAACATTTTATATGAAAAAGAAATACATTACATTGTACGAACGTGAAAAAATAATACTTTTGCGAGTGTGAGTGACGGATATACATATTATCTTGATGGAAACTTTTATTTACATAGAGCGGTGCACTCGGTGTCGTTTCTTGGCTCGTACTTGGTCAGAGGCGTGCCCGCGACCCCGCCCACGCGTCCCTCCCACTCGCTTAAGTATTGCACAAGCCGGCCGCTAACGTAAATTTTACTCCAAAACTCCAACAACTCTAAAATAAGCAGGTAACTTTTTAGTTTCCATATAACAAAAACGAAAGCTCTTTAAATTAACGGCCTTATACTATTACATTATATTTATTAACTGATTTACAAACAGTAACAAATCCATACCTAGCTTAGTAAATATGAGTGTGGGTATGATATAAAAAAATATTTTTAATCTTTAATAGTGAGATTAAATCTCGAAGTTAACGTTTAGTTTGTCTGTAGTAAAATATATGTAAATAGTTATTTGATTTCTGTTTTATATATGAAAATATGTATGTTTATAAAATATAAATTTATGTTTGTATGTGAATATAAAGTTCTTTTTACATTTATAATGAATATTTTTGTTTATCTATTAAAATCTTGATTTACAATCATTAAAGCAGAATTAAAACTTTCAGGTAGTAGTTAACGAAAAAAGTAACAGCAAAGATCATCAGATAAATAATAACAACAGGTACATGACACGTTTAGACGAACAGCTTAAAGTAGGGTCTCCTGGACGTAAGACAAGCGACGAGCGACGGCGGGGGACTCAGCAGGGCTGGTGCGGGGCGTCGCAGGGGACGGCGGGGGGGTGGGGGGCTGGGCTACAGGGGCCTTCGGCTCTGGCTTTAGCCACCTGCTCGACTCAGGCACGCACAACGCCGACCTCGGCTCCAAGGGCCGCCGTGGTGCAGACTCAAAGTAAAAATGGGAAGCTCCCGCCTTTGTGTAAGATGGGGACGCTTCACCCGTTTCTTTCTTGGCACAAACTAGCCACCACGGGCACATCTTGTTACAACGCTCCTTGCACTCGTCGCATTTTTTGGGAGGCACCGTCGATACCGAGTACGTCTCAGTGTCCAGATCTTCCGGGTTGATCAGAGCCCACAAACGTCGTGTCTCGGCGGAGTGATACCGATTAGCCACAGTTCGGCGTGGGGAGATGAATCCCAGATCCTCTAGCACCTCCCGCTCTATTTCCTCGTCTCTTATACGTCGCTCTTCCTCAAGCTTTTTCCTGTAACAAACAAAAGGAACGATTTAGTTGATAAGCGTGAACAGATCTCCGTACAATATACTTACGATATAATACTTATTAATTTGAAAACTAGCCCATAATGTTATACGTACAAGTCATGAATAATGATATCCGGCTCCAACGGCGCCGGTTGAGCAGGAGGCGCAACTCGTGCTTCCTCTGAATCATCTTCTATCTCCACATTATACATCGGTGGTGTTAAACTCGTCGGACTGCCTTTTGGCAGGTTTTCAAGGGCTTTATCCATATTACCCTGCAAAATAAAAAAAACTTAATTGTGCGGTGAAAAGCATACACAGTTCCCAGAAATAAGTATTCTCATTTAGCATTAGATGCATGGGCGTACCAGGGGACTGCCCTCCCCCGCATCCCCCTCCCCCCTCCTCAAACCACTTCCCTCCCCTCCTCCAACAACTCCCCTTCCCTAGATATTGCGTATAAAAAAGTTCATCCCCAATTTTCCACCCTTGGGGGTTGTTTTTTCTATTATTAAATTTAAATGGGACCACCCTTGAGGTATTACCTATACGCCGAAAAAAGATTTGTTCAAATCGGTTCATAATTGGCGGAGTTATCGCGTAACAAACATAGAAAAAAAAACATACGGGTCGAATTGAGAACCTCCTCCTTTTTTTTGAAGTCGTTTGAAAACTAAAGTGAAACTTTAACTCCCTCTAAAAGTTAGTAGCTATTAAATAATCTTTAATTATAACAAAATTAACTTAATAAGTAATATAATTTATTAATAAAGTGTTCAAACGTACCTTCTCTAACGTTGTTTGTGGCGCTTCCACACCGGGACCGCTCTGGCACCAGCACTCGGAAGATGGGAGAACTTTTCACAACTTGAAACAAGAGAAAAATACCACTTTAAAACTTCACACTCTCACTCAAAAGCAAAGTCACTACTGCACTTTTTGAACACCACAAAACTAAACTTTTTATCACAAAAGAAAATCAAAATTTCAAAGTTCCGAAAAGCACAGATCACTGAGAAATAGAACACTTCACTTATCACTGTAATCCATTAAAATTTCACACAAACACACTGAGTATGAGAAAAAAAAATTTTTGAAGGTTTTTAAAAGTTTAGGGACTTAGAAAATTTCCCGCGTACCGATCTTTTCGAGACGTCGGGATGCGTGGATCCTGTCTGGAAGCCGGAGCGAGAGTGCCGCGGCGGGGAAGCGCCGGCGGGGGCTGCAGTGCGTCCTAGGGGCTCGGACATGCGCCCCTGCACCTGTTGATGGGCTGCAAGGCCAGGGGGCCGGGTTAGGCTGCATCCCCCACCCCGCGTCATCGATTAGTTATTAAGTAAACCAATGTTAATGCGTAGTTTGGAGAAAAAATTTAACTGTCACTGCCAGGGGAAATAATACGAATTTTTGGTCGTAGACTCGATATAAGACTCTTTGTAGAGCTGTAGAGGCCTATCATCTCATCGTATAAAATGTTTTTTTGTCTCGGCATTAACTCTCGATCGTGTATTGAGATTTTCCCCCAAAAACAGACTGATATCTTTTTACAAAACAACTTTCGTTTACTATTTTCATTATAGGAGGGATATTATCACTTTTTTGCACATCCACGTCTGAAAATTCTTTCAGTATAAGTACACTTTATCATCATAACACAGTGGCGTCGCGCTCTTGAAAAATATATTACGCTTCTGATGAAATGTTTGACACTTTTCGTGTTTTGACCTTATTCGTGAGGGACAGAATAATTAATTAATTTCCTCCAGGAAAACTGGCGCTTTCCAAGACCTACTTACTTGCTTACCGAGTTGTAGTACATTTGAGCTCAGACATATTATCATAAACTGATAAATATACATGAGACATGCGAGAGACGATGGTATTGAAATTTAAAAATATTTTTTTTAAAATACCGATCGCAACTTATTATTTGAAATGCTCGCCAATTAGGTATATTCATAACTTTCTGCAAATTGTGCTCATGAAAATTATCCAATATTAATCTACCTGTCTTCCGATAAGAGTATTCCTTCCGATAGTGTGGTGCGTAATAGATTTCTCGGAACAGATTTCTTTTCCTGGCATTAACCTATTTATTGTTTCCACAATGAAGGTGTTGTAAGGGATACCTTATCAGCAGCGTGCGACGTAGACATTTTAACCCGGTAACTCTAGAGTAGATTAATGACTAAAAAAATGTTGTACGTAACTTTATTGCGTCCAACGCTCACCTTCACATTACCTTTATCGCTCAGGAGTTTGACTTTCAGAAAAGGTTTGTCATTGATATATCTTCATTAAAGTGATGGACGATGGACGCAGCGCCATACGAAATGTTTTCATAAACTCTAGCAATATTAATTGGGAATCTTTTTAATTAATTTTCTTTACTAAGCCGGCTTACGTCGCGAAAAATACATTTATACTCGAATTCAAAACACATTTTTGTGCAAACAATACTTGATTTAAGTGTGAAATCATAGCAAAGAACTTATGTTTAGTACTTTTGTAGAAACTCCGTGCTGTTCATTAGAAATATAGGTATGATTTTATGGAGAGTCCCGGGCATTACGTGTATAAATTATCACTAACTGAATATTCAAACGAAATAGAAAATTAGTCTTAATGTAAACAATACGAAGCGATATAATATTATAAGTACGTCATGTTACCTTGTATTATTTTTGGTCTATGCCTTCTGACTGCCATGGACTGTCTGGGACATTGTCTAGATCTCAGACTGATTGACAGATTTTTAGTACATTAGCTCTACAGTCTACATGTAGCCTAGCTAGACTGAAACTTTTTTGTTTAGTAAGGTAAGATTTTCGTAGAACGTGAACGTGATATTAACTAGAAACAGGGGAATGACTTAGGTGTAATAATATTGGCGCGTAAAAGGAGGCAGTGATTAAAAATGAAAGTGACCATAGGAAATTACTAAAAGACAGCAATGTATGCCTTTTTAAATTTTGCTTTGCAACTCTCTGGAACGCCGTCGTGCGTCCGGGCTGTAGTCCAGTAGTCCAATATTATGTATTCCAGTTTCACGAGCATGTCGCGAGTTGCCCCGCATTCAAGTCAGGCTGACGTCACCGCGTGTGTCCGATGCATTACGGAGCGGCGTCAATGTAGGTAGTTGTAGGTAGTAATGCTGAATTTTCACTTATGTTGTAATTTATGTAGTAATGGTCGTTTCAGCCTGCCTAGCCTACGTGATAACAGAAGTAAATCATTTTAAATAAGTTTAAAAATCTTTTAATGTAATATCTGAAATTCAGATCAGTCTTGAAGGAAAGTCGTGTAAGGCAAATTTTTTGGTCTGGTTTGCCTTCGGATCGTAAGAAGTTTCTTAAAATCTATTATACATTTCTCGAAACTATACATAGGTATATTTCTCGATACGATATTAAAAACTGGATATTTCAATATCATTAGCTTTGTTTAGGAGAAAGCAAACGTGTCGTATTTTCTCAGAAAATATTCATAAGTAATGTCTCTACTAAGAAAATACACACCTAATTAATTATCTCGCCCGTACCTGCCTCACTATTATAATTAGGATATTGTACAGGCTATGGAAATATTTCACAAATAGTACGCCATAGCTTTATTCTCGGTAAATATAGCCCGGGCGCCGCGGCGGCGTGGCAGCTCAGAGCTCTACGATGAATATTTACCAGAACTCTCTGGAAAAATTTGCTTTAATATACTTTTTCTAACGATTTTTAGGGGATACGGCAAACGCTGGCTACTGTCTGCTGCTTTGTTTGTACTCGTGCTTAGTTTAGTATTTTTGAAGTTTTGTGGGAATTTGTATTTCTGTCTTGAATAAATGTTTCAAGATAACCCATGAGCAGAATTTTCAAGTTATGCTTGCTACAAAAATAAAGAGTATCAAAACTTGCTACAAAAATATTAAAAAGAAATTAGATGTCTCTTCCATCTGGCGCTGCCTGTACCAATATTTTAGTTATCGGAAAATGCGATGTAGCTATGGTAAAGACGTATCTCCACGCCATGACTTCACGAGAAAGCCTCATGTTACTACTGTACTGTACTGACTTTTGATGAAGACTGAACCTAGACACACTAAGTACGGTCGTCGGAAGACGGTGAAGGTAAAGTACGTAGTATATTATGTATCTCCCTACTCGCGGTTTATTTACCGAGCCCGAACAATGCCCGGTTGGGACTTCGGACTCTATGTATTGAAGCGCCAGCCATGTAAAGCCCGTACGGCGACCGCCTGTCTAGACGAATTACCTAATTGTTTGTAATTATTATGTATTCAAGGAAATAACCTTGACCGTATCATCTTTTGGTTTATACATATTCAATAACCAATTCATGTGTATTAATGGATATTAAACATAATGTTGGCCGGAGTATTTCTATGTTTTTGTACGAAACACTTTTCCATAGTCCGGTATCCGTGGCTCCAGGTATCAAGGGTTGTGTTTATTTCTATGAAAGTTGGAGCCATTTATTTATTTTTATTTATTTATTTTATTGGTCTGCCAACAATTGTACAATAATACTTGTAAAATTACTAAATTCTAACTTAATTTCTAGTACAATATATGAAATGGGCAAACACAGCATGCATAATGAAAGTAGTAGTAGCCATGGATAAACCTAGCTGCAATATCTATGGCCTCTTTAGCCTGAGTAACTGAGTGCCGGGCTATAGTATCACAACGAAAGTTAGGATCATACGATATAAAGACTAAAACACCATAATTTTTCAGCGTAGGCAGCGTTGCCGCTCAGCTATGTGCCGCTAAATGTCAAAGTTGCCACCAAGCTACACAAACGCACGGATGCAATCGATACCCAGGTACGCCCGGACACATAGGAGGATGAGGCCCTCCTTCCTACATGACCTGAGCGCGTGGGTGGTGGGTTGCCCCTGAACTATTTACTGCGTAATTCTTCTCCCAACAATAACAACGTCGAATATGCTGGAACATTCGATACGTTCGAGAGATTCATCTAAATAACTCCTTGGGGAAAGTCAAGAGGTTATTGGAGGGGAATGTATTACCAATATTACCATGTATTGCGTAAGGGCGTCCCCACAATGTCGGCGTGGTGCGTATGTACATAAACGCTTGGCCTATATATTTAAAGTATGTAACTAAATGTTTTGCCTCTTACATAGATGGACACCGCGCCGTAAGGCACATTCAAATTTCATTGGTTGCTCATTTTAGTGAAAGAAAGCAGGTACCTACAGTACTTTTTATTAGTCAAGTTGTGCTTAAATGTCCGCTAAATTTTTTTACTTGACACCTATGGTAAATTTCTACCATCCGTGTACACTTTTGCCTGTTTTTTGTGTGTAGGTAAATGCTTCGAATGCATTCGGTGCGTCATAGCATAAAATACATTTATGATTTTTTAAATTTATTTAAAAATGCACCCAAGCAGGGAGTGGTTACAGTCTCTTTTACAGATACCAACTTGTTGAAAATTATGGAAATATGCAGTAACAACCGACGGAACTCGTATACTTAAGTATGCGAATGTCAAATGCAATCTTTCCTACAGTATTTGAAATGGAAATCATTATTATCGCTGAAACTACCGCCAATTGATCTGAATCCGGAGTACGACATCCACCTGCTGCATGGACCGACTACTTATCCGAAGAAAATAGTTGAGATTGTATGACAAAACTAGGAAATCCTCTGGGGCGTTCCAGACTATCGTTTACCCGTCAAAATGAAGAGTATGAAGACTTACGTCCACCCTGTAGCAGACTGAAATGTACATCAATCTGAACTTCTGAACTTGATGGCAGTTATAAATTTCAGTAGAAAATCTGAGTTGAGAACAGGCAGTTTAATATAGGCCAATCATTCCATGCTTTATTGCGCAGATTGGTTTTCAAAGTAATGGATTGGCGCTGTGAACAAAGGATTTTCCATTCACTAAATACTTATAGCCTGAGCCTGACCATGAACAGATTCATAATTGAGGGTACAAAAACATATATAAATCTTATTTTGCATATTCCGCCTTTAGATTGAAGATTAGGTAAATAAAACCAATTTCGTTGAAGTATAAGTAAATAAAATGAAGTAAGGCCTGGCCGAGTTCAACCCATGGCATGTTCGGACAATGCCAAGATGAGAGCTTTGATAATTTGGCAGAACGAGGAGAAATAACGGTTCCGTTTTTATGTAAAACAGTCGTCATTTAGCGACTACAGAGCGAATGATTGAATTTATTCAAATATAGGTGAAGGTCTGCGCTTTTACGGGTCAGGCTGTGACGCAAATCATTTCTAGGTGGA